CAGCGGCCCATCCATGGCCGCCTCATCGACGCCTCTTCGCGCTTCACGCGCTCGACGCACTCCTCGACGTCCGCGACCAGCGACGGCACGGCAACTTCCACACTACGTGCCCGAGCTCCGCGACGTTCGACCACCGCCTCGGCTACGCGCCTCGACAGCGGCCCATCGGTGGCCGCCTCGTCGCCACGACCTCGCGCTCGACCCGCTCGACGCGGCTCCTCGACGTCCGCGACCAGCGACAGCACGGCAAGCCCCGCGCTACGTGCCCAAGCTCCGCGACGTTCTGACCACCGCCTCGGCTACGCGCCTCGACAGCGGCCCATCTATAGCCGCCTCATCGACGCCTCTTCGCGCTCGACGCGCTCGACACGGCTCCTCGACGTCCGCGACCAGCGACAGCACGGCAAGCCCCGCGCTACGTGCCCGAGCTCCGCGACGTTCTGCCACCGCCTCGGCTCCGCGCTTCGTCGGCGGCCCATCCATGGCCGCTTCGCCGACGCCTCTTCGCGCTTCACGCGCTCGACACGGCTCCTCGACGTCCGCGACCAGCGACAGCACGGCAAGCCCCGCGCTACGTGCCCGAGCCCCGCGACGTTCTGCCACCGCCTCGGCCAGCCTCGACAGCGACCCATCAGTGGCCGCCTCGTCGCCACGACCTCGCGCGTCACGCGCTCGACTCGCTCCTCGACGTCCGCGACCAGCGACGGCACGGCAAGCCCCGCGCTACGTGCCCGAGCCCCGCGACGTTCAACCACCGCCTCGGCCAGCCTCGACAGCGGCCCATCCGTGGCCGCCTCGTCGCCACGACCTCGCGCTTCACGCGCTCGACTCGCTCCTCGACGTCCGCGACCAGCGACAGCACAGCAAGCCCCGCGCTACGTGCCCGAGCTCCGCGACGTTCTGCCACCGCCTCGGCTCCGCGCTTCGTCGGCGGCCCATCCATGGCCGCCTCGTCGCCGCCTCTTCGCGCTGCACGCGCTCGACGCGCTCCTCGACGTCCGCGGCCAGCGACGGCACGGCAAGTTCCACACTACGTGCCCGAGCTCCGCGACGTTCTGCCACCGCCTCGGCTCCGCGCTTCGTCGGCGGCCCATCCATGGCCGCTTCGCCGACGCCTCTTCGCGCTTCACGCGCTCGACTCGCTCCTCGACGCCCGCGACCAGCGACAGCACGGCAAGCCCCGCGCTACGTGCCCGAGCTCCGCGACGTTCTGCCACCGCCTCGGCTCCGCGCTTCGTCGGCGGCCCATCCGTGGCCGCCTCGTCGCCGCCTCTTCGCGCTTCACGCGCTCGACTCCCGCGACAGCGACGGCACGGCAAGCCCCGCGCTACGTGCCCAAGCTCCGCGACGTTCTGCCACCGCCTCGGCTCCGCGCTTCGTCGGCGGCCCATCCGTGGCCGCCTCGTCGCCGCCTCTTCGCGCTTCACGCGCTCGACCCGCTCCTCGACGTCCGCAACCGGCAACTGCAAGCAAGCTACGTGCCCGGGCTCCGCGACGTTCGACCGCCGCCACGACCACGCGCCCAGACGGCGGCCCATCCATGGCTGCCTCGTCGCTACGACCTCGCGCTTCACACGCTCGACCCGCTCCTCGACGTCCGCGACCAGCGACGGCATGACAAGCCCCACACTACGTGCCCGAGCTCCGCGACGTTCCGCCACCGCCTCGGCTACGCGCCTAGACGGCGGCTCATCCATCATGGCCGCCGCGTCGCCACCTCTTCGCGCTTCACGCGCTCGACACGGCCCCTCGACGTCCGCGACCAGCGACGACACGGCAAGCCCCGCGCTACGTGCCCGAGCTCCGCGACGTTCCGCACCGCCACGGCTACGCGCCTCGACAGCGGCTCATCCATCATGGCCGCCTCGTCGCCACGACCTCGCGCTGAACGCGCTCGGCGCGCTCCTCGACGTCCGCGACCAGCGACAGCACAGCAAGCCCCGCGCTACGTGCCCGAGCTCCGCGACATTCCGCCACCGCCTCGGCTACGCGCCTTTGACGGCGGCTCATCCATCATGGCCACCTCGTCGCCGCCTCTGCGCGCTTCACGCGCTCGACACGGCTCCTCGACGTCCGCGACGACACGGCAAGTCCCGCGCTACGTGCCCAAGCTCCGCGACGTTCCGCCACCTCCTGGGCTACGCGCCATTGACGGCGGCTCCACCATCATGGCCGCCTCGTCGCCAACTCTTAGCGCTTCACGCGCTCGAGGCGCTCCTCGACGTCCGCGACGAGCAACGACACGGCAAGCCCAGCGCTACGTGCCCGAGCCCCGCGACGTCCGCCTCGGCTACGCGCCTCGACAGCGGCCCATCCGTGGCCGCCTCGTCGCCACGACCTCGCGCTTCACGCGCTCGACTCGCTCCTCGACGTCCGCGTAGCGACGACACAGCGAGCCCCGCGCTACGTGCCCGAGCTCCGCGACGTTCCGCCACAGCTCCGCCACCTCCTCGGCTACGCGCCTTTGCAGCGGCTCAACAATCATGACCGCCGCATCGCCGCCTCTTCGCGCTTCACGCGCTCGACTCGCTCCTCGACGTCTGCGATCAGCAAAAACGGCAAGCCCCGCGCTACGTGCCG